ATTAAATAGATACTAAAAACTAATATTTCTTATAGACTATCTAAATTAGTAGTTTGAAAAAACTAATTAGAGTAAAAGTAAAGATATCAAATGGTTTAAAGAGAAGTACTAGAGTTTAAATAAATTTTACAAGAACAAAAGTAGATAATGGTAGCAGAGATTGAAAAACTAAATACAAGTACTTGTTTTAGGACTTGACATAAGTTATTAAAGCTTAAATTAGCCAGATTATGAGTATAAAAAACTCTAACAGATTTACTTTTAAAAATAAAGAGCTCTCTATAATAATTGAATCTCTTTAAAGTTCTAAGCTGTGTATCTAAAAATAAAAAAATACTAGTACTTTTGTTTAACCTCATAGATACAAAAAGTTTAAATAAATAATCCTCTAGTTAAATTATAGATATGACTTCTAATATTAAATTTAGTTATAAGCAGATTACTTAAATAAACAATTAAAATTGTATATGTAACTAGTATATATTCTCCAAATATATATATAATATACTATAGTATATTGTAAAGTTAACCTATAATTAAAATAAAAGAAAATAACTAAGAGGTTATCTTAATATCAAAAAAAATATTTATTAATAGATATAAAAAGATAAATTATTTATTATATAGTAATTATAATCAACTTACAAAAGTTTAATATTGTTTATAAATAATAATTAGATTTAATTATTAAAAATTTTATAAACAATAATTAGATTTAATTATTAAAAATTTTATAAACAATATTTCTTGTATTGTTACGAAAAATTCTGACAAATTTTTCTTACCTTGCATTTTCGCTATATAGTTTCTTTGTCTTCCTATGTAAAAGTAGTAAATCATGTAGTCACGATAGTAATAGCACGTGTATGAGTTCGAAACCCGGGGTTAGGGTTTGAAACCCGGGATCTGGGTTCGAAACCTCGGATTCAGGTTCGAAACCCCAGATCCGGGTTTGAAACCCTTGAACATCAAATGTATAAATAGAGCACTTGTCTAGTAAATAAAGTAACCTTTCCAAACCTTTCCTGACTCTTTCAGACTCTTTCGAACTCTTTCTTACTCTGCTCAAGTAATAAGTATAGTGGATACGTGACTTAACTCATTTTATTTTTGATTCGATAATAAGTATATAATAAGCTCTGATCTTGCCTAATATGTAACCTGTGGAAACCTAACTTGGACCTATATGTGACTTGCGGTGACCTAACTTGGACCATAAATAACCTAGCAGCGACCTATAACAACCTGACTTTGACCCTAAGTAATCTAGGCATAACACATGACGATCTCTTTCAAATATAGTCTTATTGAAGCAGCAGTACTTACCCCAATCGATAATTATTACCACATACGAATCCAGACTGTGCTATTTACCATCAGGATTTATGCTTACGGTGCTAGACTAAATTGGCCTGGACATATAAAGCTCTCTCTAGCCGTAACAATAGCTATTACTTTTATTATTATGCTTGTATTATTTATCAAGAGTTTTATAATTTTATATAAAATTACTTTAGAGTATTATATAAAATTATTTATAAAAATAACTAATTGTAATAAAAATAATTAACTAATAGAATTATTTAACTTTATTTTTATTAATCTTAAAACATAGGCTAGGTGCTGAGAAAAGAGCCAAAAAAAAAAAAGATCTTTGAAAAATCAATTTTTATATTATAAATCTAATAATAAATCATAAGAAACCATAAACTTTAAAGAGCTATACTGCAAAATTTTATTAATATAACTACTTTTGTATATTAAGTGAAAATGATCCTAATCTTATTCTAAGTTAATTTATATAAAAATCTCTTTTGAAAAATTGTCATTTTCGGTCCTTTTTTCAGCACCTAGCTCACATAAATCAGATAAACTAAAATTATTTATATATTTAAATAAAAAGATAAAGATATATCATTTTGCAAACAACAATAATTAATAAAATATTTAAAAATTAGTAATTTTTTATATATACAAAAATTTTATATTAGTATTTTTTTTTAACAATATAACAAAATTTTTTATAAATATGATTAGAATCCTGATTTTTGCTTATATTTATAGGTTATCTGTAGGTTAACTTACTGGTTACCTATGGGTTGATCTACTCACAATTATCTGTAATAATTAATCAATCAAATTACACAATTTTAAAATGTTTGATACTATTAGAAAACAAAAAAAATTGAAAAACTTTGTATAAAAAAGCTTATAAACTAATAAATGCAAATAAAAAAATCATATTAAATACTTAGAGAATAGATAAATAAGCGTAAAGTGAGTAAATATGATATTTATTACTAAACAAACCTAAATTCATTAAAGAATCTACAGAATATAAATCAAAACTTTTAATTTACATCTGACAAACACAAATACACAAGAATCAAATAAATTTAAAACTATACTCATCTAACTGTTATAACTCGAGTACTATTTAACAACGAACTTAAACCTGGCAACAATAAAGAGTTCTTTAATATCTAAAACTTAAGTTTTGTTCACACTTTTCAATCTTTTCCTGTTGACTATTTCAGGCATTTAACGCTTGTATATAGTTACTATAATAATAAGCAGTAAAATCTTCGCTTCTAAGTAAAGTTCTCCACGTTCTTAATTGTTTTTGATTATTTTTGCATGGTGAATGTGATATTCTTCCACACGTCTTTGTGGTATTTACGACAGATTTTAGTTAGTAAAACATTACATCCTTAAAAAGTATTTTAAAGTGTATAAATAAGTTACTTGGGAATTTGATTTACACCAGCCAATCATATTAAAGTCTTTCTTTGAGATCCAATTACCAGTCTGAAATATTTAGCATTTACTATACCATTGCAATATAATTTTCATTTTATATGCATTTGCTTAATCAGCATATAAAGATCGTTCATAATTGATAAAATAAATTCTATGTTGTACTTGTCAACGTAGTGATGGGTGATGAAATTGACAAATTTGACAAAATAAATATTTCATCAATTTCGTCACTATGAAAATAATTTTGTCACTTATAATTTCGTCAATTTTGTCATTGTGAAAATAATTTTGTCACCCATCTATAACGTGATTATACTGGTCCCATGCGGTATTACATGCTGCGTAGCTACTCTAATTCGGGGATTATAATCATAAAAAACCGCAGAATTTCTCTTAAAGCACAACTAACCACAGCAATCATCCTTAGTTACTGCAGAATATCACAGAATTCTAAAAAAGTAGCACAGAATATCCCAGAATTTTACAATATCGCAACAGAATTATAAAATTTTGCAGCATTGATCACAAATTCAGGTCTGTACCAGGAAATCCCGACAAAGTAGACAATAAATCGAATATATATATAGTACTGTATAGAAAATAATTTAGTGCTGTATTTTATTTTATAAAATTTTGAAATAATACGATATAGTGCGAAGTTACATATATATAAAGATAATTTCGTACCAGAGTGTATAAAATGTTAAAGATCAGGATAATTCGACTTTTTGATCTCATTGTATTTTGACATTCTTAATATCGAAATTTTCCTATAATGACTTTTTAATTCGCTATTTTCAAATTAAAAAATGAATATAACAGAAACTTATTGAGATTAATCATTCTTAATCATTCTTACAAAAAACTAATGAACTTATCAAAAAAACCAGTAAGTTATATAAGTGTTGTCAAAAGAAAACCTACTATGATTTTCATAATAATCTATTTTTGGAATTGTTGACAACGCTCATGTAGTATATTATTTTTTTGAAACGAATATGCTGTATACTAAAACGACTAAATTTAGAAGAAAAACAAGTATTTAATTAAATCTCCATTATCAAAAATCTAAAAACTTTAATTGCAAGTGAATCCATTAATATTGAAGAACAAGAAAGGCTTTTAAGGATTAAGTATAATATTCTTGTGAGTCAAAAGGATAAAATAATGAGTTGAAAAAAAGAAAGTATGTTGTGAGAGAAACTTTAAAAACATGTAATTAATATGCACGTTGCGAATAGTGTTACGACTGGGAAGAGCTTTTATATGTCCAGGCCAATTTAGTCCAGCGCTGTAAGCATAAATCCGGATGGTAAGTTGTATAGTCTGGATCTGTATGTAGTAATAATTATCGATTGGGGTAAGTATCGCTGCATTAATAAGGCTATATTTGCCAGAGGTCGTCACAGGTCAGGCCTAGGTTGATTAGGGTCCAAGTCAGGTCATTATAGGTTGCAATTAGGTTATGTAGGGTCCAAGTTAGGTCACCACGAGTTACATATAGGTCCAAGTTAGGTTACCACGGGTTACGTATAGGTCCAAGTTAGGTTACCACATGTCACTTATTAAGCAAGGTCAGAGCTTATTATATATTTATTATCGGGTCAAAACAAGAAAGAGTTGGAAAAGTTAGATAAAGTATCCACTTTATTTATTATTGAAGCCAAGTAAAAAAGAGTTCAAAAAAGTCACCTTATTTACTAGTCAAGCACCCTATTTATACAATTCAATGTTTAAAGGTTTCAAACCTGAATTTGGGGTTTCGAACCTGAATCTGGGGTTTCAAACCCAGATCCCAGGTTTCAAACCCTAACTACAGGTTTCAAACCTGTATATGTGCTATTACTATCATGACTATATGATTTACTACTTTTATATAAGAAGATAAAGAAACTACATAGTGAAAATGCAAGGTATGAAAATTTTGTCAAAATTTTCGTAACATATTTCTCCTCTTATAGGGTGAGCTCCATCGAACCTGTCAACAGCCTCCTAGTTTCATACTTCCTTAACCTTGCTTCTGCCAACAATTCTGTAAAGTTAGAATCCAACATTCGCTCAAGCACTGAGATAATAATTTGTTGGCCAGGGACATGTACCAATTTTTTTTTTTTTTCCATATATCTATTTATTCATTTTATTTATTATATATTTTTCTTTTTCTATTACTTATTTAGACTTTCCTCCTGAGTTAAACATATATTGTGTTGGATTCAAGAATGTTGGAACACAATAGTTGATTATCTTGGTGAGTCAGAGTTACGTAAATACTGGCCAAATTTTTCCACAGCCCAAGTGATAGAGATGCATTTCACTTCATTCATAAAATAGTTTCTTTTAATCAGATTAGTCATCCAGGTTACTATTTCGTCATCACAACCTTGACCTTCTCTAGCCTTTTAACTCCATTCAAGCACCTTTTGGCCATCCTTATCCGAGTTTTTACCATTTTGGTAGTACTATTTGGATTACATTGTTTCTCTGCATTGCTATTGTTAAACTGATTTGTATATAATCTAGGTTTATTGAATAGTTTATGCTTATTTTTAATAATCTCATTATTTGGTATTTCACTTGTGCATTTGATTTTTCTGACCGGTTGGTTACCTGACAAGGGTAAGTTTTTTTCTCCTTTTTTGCTTGCTTGTAAAGATTCATCACTTCTTGTACTAACTACCTTATTCATTTTGTTACTTTCATTTTTTTCTCCATCTTCATTTATTTTGCACTCCTTAACGAT